AGTTGGTCCTAGTGGTAAAGAACACTGTCACAAACATGTTAAAAATATTAAAAAATACATTTAAAATTTTGAATAACAACATTACAACACAACAGGGTATTTTTTCAAATACAAACACAACAAAAAGTCTAAAATTTACAACCTACAAAAACTGCAACTTCATGTTAAAGGTAGAAAAGAAGAATTAATCTTCTTTTTTGATGACATATTTCTGTCAACATCCGGGTGTCATATGTAACAAGGTTATAATTTTCACTTTTGCACTTCACACCACATGGATATGAAAAGAAAGAGCCCTAGGCAACATAATCAGCAAGGAAATGAAGTCTTTTCTCAAGTACAGGTAGGTAATCTATGCATGTTATGATAAGTTCCCTACATTTTCCAGTTTGTTACTTCTTTTGAAGTCCTGTTGAAGTAGAAAGGAATAAATACAACTTAAGTTTTCAACATCTTTCTTACAGTTCATAGGAGAGCTGCAGTTATAGATGTAGCACATTTCTATGAAGTTTCTCTTAAATTGGTTGTCAACCCTCTTTAGTACTTGCACATTTTCATAGTTAGCAGTGTGTCCAGTATTCTTAATATGTTGGCTAAAGGCTGTGCTGGTGGGCTTCCTCACAACATCACTCCTGTGCAAAGCTATTCTTTTTGAGAGTTTCTGGCTGGTTGGACCGACATACACTTCTGAACAAGAACCACATGGAATAGAATACACTACATTGAAGTTATCCAGTTCTTTAACTCTTTGTGTCAGGTGAGTAAAGTATGTCCCTAATCTTTTGTACACAGAATTTGCTATCACTACACAGCTGATCCTTGTTTTGACGCTTTCCCGAAAGTTACCCTCCAAAGAATTGTATTCTTAGCGTCGTTATACACACTATATATATATATATATATATATATATATATATATATATATTATATATATATATATATATATATATATATATAGTGTGTATAACGACGCTGGTAGAAAATGCAATCGAAAACAGAAAGAACTATAAGAAAACAAGAAAAGCATTAATTATTGGGAAGAAGCAAATCGTGGCTCTAACAAACGAAAATACCAGAATTACAGACAGAAATGAAATAATACAACTCGTGACTAAATTCTATAGCGAACTATACAAAGCTCCTGAAACGCTTGAAGAAGCAATCAGTAACCACGAAGATGTACCAGAAGTCCTTCCGGAAGAGGTAGAATCGACAATTTTAAAAATGAAAAGCGGTAAAGCAGCTGGAATTGATGGCATAACAGTGGAACTGCTTAAATACGCTGGCAAAAAGACGTGGAACATCTTAGCAGGTGTATTCACGAACTGTCTAAGATCAAGATGCATACCAGACCACTGGAATACAGCAAACATAATTTTGATCCATAAGAAAGGTAATAAAGAGGAGATTAAAAACTACAGACCTATAAGTCTACTACCAATCATATACAAGATATTCACAAAAATCATCAACAACAGATTAACAAATGCATTAGATGCTGCACAGCCAAGAGAGCAAGCTGGCTTCAGAAGTGGATTCAGTACCATGGATCATATCCATACGCTTCGAGAACTAATGAGTAGAGCTAAAGAATATGAAATACCGCTAGCATTAACCTTCATAGATTTCGAGAAGGCTTTCGATTCTATATATCCCAAGGCAGTAATAGAAGCTTTGACCAACCAAGGCATTGACAAACCTTACATAGAAACTTTAGCAAACATATACAGACAAGCAAAAGCTAAGGTAAAAATTTATGAAAACACTCCAGAATTTCCCACTACTAGAGGCGTCCGACAAGGAGACTCTATATCACCAAAGCTCTTCACTGCAACTCTAGAAAATATATTCAGCCAAATGAACTGGCAAAACAAAGGCCTATGCATTGATGGAGAATACCTCAACCATCTAAGATTTGCAGACGACATCGTTCTAATTGCTAAAAATCCTGCAGAACTACAAGAACTTATAAGCGACCTAAATGCAGCTAGCAATGAAGTTGGCCTAAAAATGAACTTGACAAAAACAAAAACCATGTACAACGAGCTAGTGGATGTCCAAGATGTAATAATAAATAATATTGCACTGGAGACAGTAGACGAGTATATATACCTGGGACAATTAATACATAAATCTGGCTCATTACTCCCAGAAATCAACAGAAGAATGAAACTGGCTTGGGCAGCTTTTGGTAAAAATTCAGTTATATTCAAATCTAGGATGCCACTCCACCTGAAGAAAAAGGCATTCGATCAATGTATACTACCAGTCATGACATACGGCTGCGAAACTTGGACACTAAAGAAAGATATAATAGCTAAACTCGAAGTCACTCAAAGGTCAATGGAGCGATGCATGTTAGGTATAACCAAGAGAGATCGAAAAAGAATAGAATGGATCAGACAGAAAACGAAGGTCACTGATGTAATCCACCGAATAAAATCTTTAAAATGGCAGTGGGCGGGACATGTAGCAAGAAGAACTGACAATAGATGGTCCACTAGAATTACTCTGTGGTATCCAAGAGGAGTCAAGAGACCAAGAAGACGTCCAAATTTAAGATGGGACTATGACATAAGAAAACAAGCCGGTACAACATGGCACAGAAAAGCGAATATTAGACAGTCGTGGGCAGACATGAAGAACGACTATGTAAGGGAGGCTGCACCATAATTGGTAGAATACGCTGATAATGATGATGATGATATATATATATATATATATATATATATATATATATATATATATATATATATATATATATATGTATATATATATATTTCACTACGTTAGGACATAAACCCGATTCAACACCTCGGAGGTTTAGGTCCTCTTAGTGATCTGTTTAGATCCCCAGTCTAGGGTCTAGGGATCTAGTGCTTTTTGTTTTTTGTTTTTTCTTATTTTTTTTTAATATATTTTTTAATAATCCTTTTTTTCTTTTTAAATCTATTAATTAAATACAATCCAAACAAAATATTCAAACAAGTGCCAGTAGGAAAAAGAACAAGACGAAGACCGAAGCTGAGATACGTGGAACAAATAGAAAATGATATAACAACATTAAAAATTAAAAAATGGAAAAAAAAGCACGAAACAGGTCAGAATGGAGAAGAATCCTTGAACAGGCCAAGACCCAAAAAGGGTTGTCGAGCCAGTGATGATGATGAATTAAACACAATCCACTTCTAAATTCAAGGTTGTTCTCCTCAAAAATAAAATTTAAAAATCCAAATTCACTAATGAGTGATACAATTTACAGAATAAATTGCAGTCAATGTCAAAGTTGTTATATTGGACAAAGTCAATAGTCGCTTTAACAACGTGTCACTCAACACAAAAGTGACTGTAACTTACGAAAAAACTCTTGTGCCTTAGTGGACCACCACATGAAGACAAGACATAACTTTAGCTTTAATAATGTAAAAATCTTGGAACAAGTTGATAATTATAAAAATCGACTTTTCCTTGAAATGGTACACATTAATAAAACTCCCGAATCTATCAATTATAAGACAGACACCAACCATTTAAGTAATATCTATTGGAATATACTAAACATTATATGTGTTTAGGATTAAACTTGAGAGGTCGCTGGTTAAATTATACCAGATAAATAATTATAACGAAAAATGCAATATTGGTTGGTACACAAAATTGGTGAAAATAGCACCTATAAATTGTCAATAAGTTATGAAATCAACTGGTTTACTCATTATCGTTGTTTTGTACTAAGAACTATGGACTTACCCTTTGGTTCTATTGAGGTATTCGTAACAGGTTGAAGAGTTGGTCGTTGGGCATCACGACGCCGGGGCCTGGGACGCCGAGGCTATGGTTAACACGAGACTGGTCTCTGGAGGAGCGTTTAGTTCACTTCACTATCTTACGAAGAAGTGCCAGTGCCAATGCGTTGATATGGTCAGAGCTAAGAATGAAACCCTCTAAGCGGTGGTCCGAGAGGGTATACCAATAAATCATTCCATTGTATAGCGACCTTTCCGATAATTTTAGCTAATTGTGACGGTAACACGACACTTCTGTGTATATTTTTAAACCATACAAAAGATAAGCCAAATTCTCCGTATTCACAACATCATAAATGAGATATCCAGTTTAAGTTTTACGAGACAACAGAAAACAATATATTTCAAAAAGGTCTTTAAAATACAGCACCAAATTAGATCACATTACAGTACCGTAACAGAAAAAATATTAACTGTAAAATTATGAAATGAATTCGCACATACTTTCCCAAACAATATGATATGATAGATCTTAATATCAGTATTACAATAACTGACTACGTACCATCAATTACATTTTATAGATAAATTTACCATGTTCCTGATTATTTGTCAATCCTCTACTTTTCCACCGTATAATATGGATAATACTGTTATAATAATTGTTTATTTTAATTTATTCACTTTATTATTACTATTTTACTACTTGTTTACTTATTTACTAATAACAATTAGTACAATTAAACGTAACAGAAAATAATATCAAACTTACTAGGCTTCCGGGTTGAATCGCGTCGATGTTCACTGCACCGATATTTCACCATCCTCTCTGATGTCGTCTTCAGGGATTCAAAGGTTTCAATCTCCTAAACCCCGATCAATATTCAGTACCTTCAGAAAATGTATATCGGAAAGGAAATGCGCTAATAGAATTAAAGTACTGCCGACGAAAAGCAAAATTCAGGTCAGAAATATAACATGTTCCCTTAGTGAATGTGTGCCACTCAAGATACTTTTTTAAATAATGGAGCTGCATCACGAAAGCTATAGTTACAAATCCTATAGGAGGGAAGAGTCCAAAAAACATAAAATATGTTACCCTTTCACTATTACCTATGGTTACTAAATAGTTAGAGAGTTCCAGAATTCTAAAGTTTATTTATTAATAAACATATACATACAATATTTTGAAGATTTTTTTTAATAAGTTTATAGAAATAAAATACAAAAAATAACGTTTCTTTATTGTTACAGTTGTACTTTTCTACATGACCCTAGCACCGTATCTTTTTCCAGTACAGACTGTAATTGACCCATTTACAAATACAACTCTTGACCAGAGATCCTTACCAGTAAAATATTGGTTTCCTTTTGATGAGGAAAAACACTTCAATATAGCATTTGGATGGGAGATATTTAGTCTTATGTTAGGTGGACTTACGTCTTTCGCACTGGACCTTTTCTTTTTTAGTACTCTGGCTTATATTCTGGGACAGTTGAGAATTTTAAGATTCATGCTTGACAACTTTGAGAAATATAGAGAAAAGGCCGAGACTCAACTAATGTGTACACGAAGCACTGCAGATATTATTACGCTAAAGCTTTTTATTGCTGAACACCAAACAATAATGCGGTAAGATTTATGAACACGAATAGAATATTTTTAATATAAATCAGAAAATATATATGAGTATCAAAAATGCACCGCTTGGCCGGAAACTGGAAAAAGCTGTAAATTTTTTATATTGATTTTTCCTTTTTCCAACCAAACCATGTTGCGAACGTTGGACAAATATCTATTTTTCAAATTGTCTGAATTAAGTACATCTAGCAACATTAAAAACTTCAGAGGGTGCCCTCAAAATTCATTATTTGTGTACATTTGCGTTAATTTGTGTCCAAAGGTCAAACGGTTGCATTTTTCTCACATTTTCATTCTCAAAATTTGCCTTCTATTCTTCTAGTATACTCAGAATGTTTCGCTAGCCAACAAATTGTATTTGTATGCCTAAATGTCGCGAAAATTTTGTGAAAATAACTGTTAATATTTTGTTTCAAATTGGACATAGGGTAAAAGTACCAGTAAGTAGACACGCACCAATGAATAAACATGAACACAGAAATATCAAATTCTTAAAATTCGAAATGATTGAACGAAATAAATTCGGAACATAGGAATATAATGTATTTCGGCTCAATTCTGCTGTAGGTGGTTGGCCAACAAAATATTGTCAAATAATTATATTATAAAAATCCAATACTTCAGCGGGCTGCTGGATTCTGAACTCATAAAAATTGAAAGCTACACATACATCTACGATTTTAATATGCTGTCAAACCAGTTATAGTCCAGGAAATAAAGCATTTCACCTAGCAATTTTTTCGTGCTGCGTGGGTTGACTTGAAATTTAACAGAAGGTAGGTAATAGCCTAAGGATCAAAATCTATGTGATTCTAGATAAAAAATGTGCTATATATTTTTTTTTATAAAATGATATTTTTCAAGTTATTCGCGATTGAAAGTAACAACTTTTAGACGAAAAAATCCACGTTTTTAATCGATTTTTCGCGAATAACTCGAAAATGGTGCATTTTATCAAAAAAATTGTAGAGAACAAATTTGTAACTTTTAAAAAGACAAATACAATTCATTTTTTAAAATGTTTTTGCGATATAATAGGAACCGAAATACGGCCTATCAATGTTCAGCGGTTTTCTTCAAATGCCAAATTTGAAAGATTCAAAGTCAGATATTGGGAAAATGATGCATTTTTGGAAGAAAACTTACAAAACCTTTTTTAAAGAGCATAAACAGACCTATCATAAAAAAGGACTCTAGCTCAAAAATTGAGTGAGGTATGATGAAAATAAGGTCAATACCTCATTTTTTACGAAAAAATCGATGAAAACAACCCCCTAACCACCTGCATAATTAAAATCGATTTTCACCCTTCTGCAATTCCCTTTGTACATGTATTGTTAATACGTCCAAGAAGTTTAACCCATTTAAAATGCTTAGTTTTAGAAAAAGTACAGCTTAAAGTGAGAAACGATTTACAATTTTATATTTTTTACCCTTCTTTTTTAAAATATGCCCGAAAATACTGAATATATAAAAAAAATAAAAATTACCAAATTGTAACTTTTTTAATGACTAAAATTATCCTTTATTTAGATTTGTTGTACAATGAATATTTGGCGAGATATAGCCGTTTAAAGCATCGATTTACTATCAAGCACCATCTTTTTCGGGCCCTTTAAACTACCCCATTTAAAAACCAAGGGTTCCAAAAAAATTTAAATCACAGATCCTTGTAAGCTCTTAAAAACCTCTACAAATCGTTTTTAAAGAAACACTCTATCGTTAAAAATTAAAGGAAATACGTTAAAAAAACCAGTTAATTTTTTTCCGGAAAACTCCATTAGTATAGTACAGTACATTTCGGAGCATAATAATCTACAAAACCGGTATATTAACTAGTGGGGCGTTATACATTCGAAATTGTAAGCGTTCTTATTTTGAAATCCCATACAACAGAATAAAACATCTGCTCATGTGTCTATGGCTTGGCAATAAAAATATCAGAGCAACAGATTGGGGATGGTATTCCAAAGATGGTTTGTTATTACCCGTAGGCATGAACAAACAACCTGCACCCGATGAACTTTTGAAAATTACTTTTTGTCAATGCAAAAAAGGATGCGGCGTTTCATGTGGGTGCTAAAAAGTTTGTTTATACTCTAACTCTACTTATTCTGGGTGCTCAGGTGAAGGGTGCAATAACAGTCCACCAACAATTGAAGAAGATGAGGATGACATAGATCACGATGAAGATGTAATTGGTGACAAAAAAATTAATATTATAATTGTTTTACCTATAAATGTAAATATTTTCAACTATTTATGTAAATGTATAAGAATATAATTATGGTGCCTTTTTATATTGATAAATTTTTTTGTATTTAATTCTACTTTTTTCAATTTATATCTTATAAATTAGTTTATAAAAACTGCAATGTTGTAAAGGGTGATTTTCAAAAGTTGAAAAGTTGCAAAATTTTGGCAAAAAATTGTTTTTACCTATAGCACTCATAACAATTGATTTTTAAGGGTTAAAAATGTATGAATTTGTATTTTAAAGTATAAAAAAATCACTATTTAACTAATCCAAACCAAATTTCACTCATCTTAAGATTTGTAATATTATTTTACAATTTTTGAAAATAAGGGGTAGTTTTCAGCCCTAAGAACATTCAGGGTTCATCGGCATGACATAAACTATAAAGCAGAGGGTGAGTTGAGCTTAATTCCAAATTTTTATGCAAATCGTTTCAAGGTGAAATCATTTGCTTTGCATTACTAATTTTTCTATATTAATCTCTAATAAGGGTCGCTTTTTAAGGGTTGAAATATGATGGAACTTTATTCAAAAGCACGAAACTATCATTATTTAATTAATTCAAACCAAATTTTACCCATATTCAGGTTTAATATGTTATTTTATAATTTTTGACAATTAGGGGTAGTTTTCACCCCTAAGAACAATCAGGGTTCGTCGACATGATATAAACTATAAAGCAGCGGGTGAATTGAGCTTAAATCCAAATTTTTATCCAAATCGATCCAAGGCGAAATCATTTTTTTAAAATTAGTAATTTTTTACATTAATCTCTAGTAAGGGTTGCTTTTTAAGGGTTGAAATATGATGGAACTTTATTCAAAAGTATAAAATAATCATTATTTAACTAATTCAAACCAAATCTTACCCATATTTAGGTTTAATATGTTATTTTATAATTTTTGACAATTAGGGGTAGTTTTCACCCCTAAAACCCTTCAGCGCACTTCGGTTCAATATAGATTTTGATCCTTGGGCTATCACCTACCTTCTGTTAAAATTTCAACTGGATAAATGCAGGACGAAAAAATTGCAAAGTTTTAACTTTTTTCGAGCTTCATTTCCTGAACTATTATCGCTACCTTAGACAAACCCGTCTTACGCAAACAACTTTGTTGCGAGACAGATAGTTGAACGATATTTTATACAATGTCTATACCCAGGTATGAATTTATTTTTGTCCAAGTTTTATATTGGTCCACTATTTCAAATGCAGTTCAAACAGACATGTATTAAATTGTATGTTCCGTTTTAATTTGGTTCAATCTGTATATGTTAAAATAAGCTTTATAAATAGTGTATATATGACGGTTTTGCTATGACGTACATTGATTGGCTTAAACCTGGCACGGGATTCTAAGAAACTATAATTGTTTGGCGGATTGTGACTGTGCATACTGAATGGCGTGGCGTGAACACTGGCCAATAAGGTACGTACTACAAACCTTAGGCCATAACTAGTGGCCTTGAAAAGGAGAGTATTACTGTGCTCTGCAATTTTTTAGCATCCGGAGTTTTTGTCCCTCCACTAGTAATTGTACCATGTAAATGACTTCCGAGGGATGTGACTATGTCTATGTCTAGTAATTTCTTCATAGGTAAATCTGATTCTGGTCGAATGGTGTCAGAGACATTTTATAAATACATCACAAATTGTTTTTATCCCTGGATAATTGAAAACAAAATACAGTTGCTAGTGATATTATTCCTAGCCATAAATCTCACATTAGTGTTGAATTATAGGAATTTTGTAGGGAAAAGCAAGTATTCGTGTATTGTCTACCACCGAATGCAACTCAAATATTGCAACCTTGCGACGTCGCTATGTTCAAACCGCTTTAAACTGATTGGAAAAGAAATATACAATAACGTAAGCAAGCCACTAACAATTAAGTTGCAAGTCACATTTGCCCCATTATTTCAAAGAGAATTTGAACAAAATTGATTAATGCAGAAATATTGAGTTTTGAGAGAAAAAATTTCGTACAAATAAAATGGGAAACAGTGTCTTAAATAATATCGAACCCTTACTCAATTTAACGGAATCAGCTATGTACCAGTTGCTTATCCAATTTGATGATATTACCTATTTTGGTACAAACCATGATATAGTAATAAAAGAAGTAACAGAATTTATTGCTAACAATTCACAAGACACTAGCCCAATTTAATCGCAGAAAAGTGAAATAGAAGATAGAGGAGTTCAAATCAATGAATTTAGCAAAATAGCTCTGGTGAGAAAACTACAAAATTCAAGTATATTCAGTCTCAAGAATTTATGGAAACTTTGGATGAAAGCAAATCTTTCTGAAGAAACTGAAGATAGAAAAAAAGATATAAGATTAGTTTTAAATAAAGGTACAGAATCTAAAACTTATGAAAATATGGTTAAAGAAAGTAGGGGAAATTACGAGAACAAAAAGACTGCCGATGATACTGATAAAGCTAATAACAATACTGATAGAAAAAAAGTATGAAGAGAAGATAATAAAATAAAATATATAAAGATAAAAATGTGACTGAAAATAAAATTTCTAATGAACGGATTAAACATAATTTTTAAGTTGAAAACTAAATATGGAAGAAACATCTAGAGTAGAAAAAACATAAAATACTGGACATAAAATTAAATCAAAAGCAGCAGTACCTTTTGCACTGATATCTAAGGAATGGTAAAACTATTATGATAACAAAGAGAGGGACAAAACGGGTAAGTTACAAAAAACAGGCGAGAAAAGAAGAAAGGTAACAAAAATTGGAAGGAAAGAAAAACAACAACCGTAATCGTGTTGAGAAAAAAATGGTAATAAACAAACAAAATATTCATACGAAATTAGTAAGTGAAGAAGAAATAATTCTGCCTGATGTAGAGAACCATAATGTGCCTGATAACAAACAAGTGATGTTTGAAAGAGGTAAATTTGGTATGGTAAAATATGATTCAACATTTTCCAGGAAAAATTAGCAATAAAGATAGCAGTGACTATGAAGTAACAACAATGGTTTAAGCTTTCAGTGAAAAATTGTGGAAATGGCCCCAGACTGCAGATCAAATATGGTATTCCTCAGAAACCATTTTGTTCAAAACTGCAGAACCTAAAAAGGTAAATTCTAGAGGGTTTTACAATGTAACGTCCGTACAATGTAAGGGAAAAAACCAATACCGATGTAAAATACAAATGGTATACATATTTCTATATTTGTAACGAATAGAATAATAATAGAATTCTACATAATAATAATACCCACAATTTGTATCTATAATTTGTGTTCATTTACTGGACATATTTTGTTTATTCATTAGATTTTGCTGTTCATTTACTGGTGTTTTAAAAGATTTTTAAATTTTTTGTACAACAACTTTAAATGAGTATAATAAAAATATATTTGGCATTTAATATATAATAATTTTATTATTTTTGTGTTCCACAAACTTCCACAAAGAAAACTGAAGTATGTGTATGTATTATAAAAATATAAAAGTTGTCTACCTTATCCTTACATGTTCATTTATTGGTGCTTTTACCCTATTTTGATTATGTGTGACGTGATGATTCCAAAATGTAGGAAAAACGTACATAAGTAAGATCACAGCTGATGTCAATATACAATTTTTTTTTATTTTTCCAAAGTTAGATCTATTTTGTTAAATAACTGGAATTTGCCAGGGGACTCAGATGTTTCTGTAAAATATTGATCCTGTTTTCAGCAACAAATTCGTCACAAGCACCTGAATTTCTTCAAAAACATATTTTGTTGTCTAAACTTAATTACAAAATTAAAAGATAATTTACTACAAACAAAAATAAACTAATAAGAATCATTCTTCTTCTTCTTACGGTACCTATCCGTTCCGGATGTTGGCGATCAACATGGCTATCCTAACTTTGCTTGCTGCTATTCTAAATAGTCCGGTTGTCGATGTATTAAACCACTTTCTCAGGTTTTGAAGCCAAGATATTCTTCTTCTCCCTGGTTCTCTCTTTCCAAATACCTTGCCCTGAAGAATGAGTTGCAACAAGCCGTATCTCTGTTCATTCCTCATAACATGGCCAAGATATTCCAGTTTGCGCTCTTTGATGGTGTTAATGATCTCGCATTCCTCGGCTATTCGTAATACCTGAACATTAGTCACACGATCCACCCATGAAATTTTTAAAATACGTCTGTAACACCACATCTCGAATGCCTCGAGTTTTCTTAAAGAAGCTTCGGAGAGTGCCCAGGTCTCTACTCCGTATAATAACGTAGAAAATATATAGCATCTAATGAGAGAGATTTTGGTAGCAAGTGGTAAATCGTGACTTCTGAAAAGAGAATTTATCATTATGAACGCTCATCTCGCTTTTCCTATGCGTTGTTTTATTTCACTGGAGTGGTCTCATTGGCTGTTAATGTTGGTACCAAGGTATGTGTAGCTGTCCACTCTGTCAATTGAATGTTGGTTAACCAAAAGCTGTGTATTTAATATTTCGCGCTTACTGACTACCATGTACTTTGTTTTCTTCGTATTAAGATCAAGTCCGTGTTCTCTACTTACATCTGATATACGCGACATTATTCTTTGCAAACCGTCCAGACTATCTGCAAAACTACTGCGTCGTCGGCATATCTAATGTTGTTTAGACGCATTCCGTTGACTAATACGCCTTCTTGTAGTTCTCCCAGCGCTTGCTCGAAGATATTATTCAGAATATATATTAAATAACAAAGGGGGCCGAATGCATCCTTGCCTTACTCCTCTATCTATGGAGACTACCTCTGTCAATTGGTCATCCACTTTAATATTGGCTGTTTGGTTGTAATATAAATTATAGATGAATGTCAAGTCTCTATCATCTAACTCCACTTTTTTCAAGATGTTTATAAGTTCATAATTTATGTTTACAAAATGATAATTTGATTTATTCTTTTTTCATGTTAGAATAGAATAGAATAGGAATATGCTTTATTGTCACTGAAAATTATTGAACAATTTTATGGACAAAGCTAAAAAATAAATCAGTCAAATAATACAAAAAGTATAAAACAAAAACAATATAGTAAAAAACAGAATAACACAATTTTAAATTAGTAAAATTATTGTATAACCTACATAATTTGTACAGACAACAACAAATGAGACAAATTGTAGCCACTGCTTGAGACACCCAAATGTAATTATAAACAATACTAATTTTGTTTCTTTGTTATACATTAAGAAACTCGTCAACTGAGTAATATGGTCTTTCTGAGAGATAGATTTTTGTCACCTTACGGAACTTAATGAAGGATGTTGCGGATTTAATTTCTCTTGGAAGGTGATTATAAAGTTTCTTTGCACGATATAGAATAAAATTCTTTACTAGCTGAGTGGACGGGATCGGCAAATAAACGTTACAATCCGAATTTCTAATGGAGTAGCCATGGTCAGGTCTATCGGGAAAAATGTTTAGATGCTTTCGAATCAAACAAACCGTTTCCAAAATAAATAAAGAGGGAAGCGTCAAAATTCCGTGATTTTTGAAGTAGGTCTTGCAATGAGTTGTTTGTTTGAGACCAAATAGATAACGGATTGCTCTTTTTTGCAACTTAAAAATAGTATCAAATTGGGCCGCTGTACTAGAACCCCAAAATGGAAGCCCATATCGAAGATGGGACTCGAACAATGAGAAATATGCCATTTTGGCAGAAGATAAATTTAGTTCCTTCGAAACAGATCTTATTGCAAAGCAAGCTGAGGCTAGTTTCTTCCTTAAGGAGTCAGTATGCAAGGACCATTTGAGAACACTGTCAATGAGAATACCTAGAAATTTCACGGAATTTACGATATTGATTTGGCTCTCATTCAAAAGCAAGGGTTGCATGACTCCTTTATAAGATAATGCTACAGTCTTATCCACGTTAAAGCTAAGTAAGTTGGAGTCTGACCAAGCCTTGATTATAAGTAAATCATCGGTTATAATTAAATGAAGCGTTGAAATATCAGAGCTGCTCCATGTAATACTGGTATCATCAGCAAATAGAAAAATTTTCCCTTTAATTTTCAAGTAAGTGATGTCATTAATGAAAAGTAAAAAAAGAATGGGACCTAATACTGAACCTTGCGGTACTCCACACTCAATATCTTTACAACTAGAGTCGGTGTCATTTATTCTAACCAATTGTTTCCTACCTACCAAGTAAGTTTTGAACCAGTTCAAAGACACACCCCGAATTCCATAGAAAGTTAATTTTTTTAATAGAATGTCATGATTTACGCAGTCAAAGGCTTTGGAATAGTCGCAGAAAACGGTGGCGGAGGAGAGGTTACTGTTTAGTGATAGATATACATCATGTAACACAGAAAATATGGCATCACTAGTGCATTTATTAGACAAAAAGCCGAACTGATTTTGCGATAAAATATTATATTTAAGGAGAAAGGGCATAAGTCGAACTTTTATAAGTCTTTCAATAATTTTTGATAGTGCTGGTAACAAGGCAATAGGTCTATAGTTGCAGGCATCAGATTTTTCTCCACCTTTATGAAGAGGAATGACGATGGCAGTCTTTAGGCAGTTAGGGAATGTACCTTTTTCAAGGGAATCATTTACTAGCGAGACCATGACGTCCAAAACATTATGCGGTAGATTTGAGAAAATTTTAATAGATAATCCATCTATACTACAGGACGATGTGCTTTTTATACTACGAATTGTTGAAATGAGTTCCGTCTTATCAACTGGTCTTAAAAAGAAGGTATCAGCAATGTTTTTTGAATTAGAGAGATAGGAAACTGGATCTTGATGTGGCGAAATAGTTGAGGTTATATTTTTACTCACATTAACAAAATAATCATTTAGATTTTCGGGGTTAGGAAAAGAAAATGTTTGTTGTTGCCTCTGGTATCTGGAATTTCTGATTTTAGATGTTATAGGTGCTTCTACCACATTTTAGTATTTATATGTATTTACAAATATTACATTATATTTTTCCATTTTAGTTTTATCAATGACTTCAATGACTGTATGAGAACTTTGGTGCTGTTGGATTTTTTTCAAACCTCCTTTCAGATAGGAGTATTAATTATGTATAACTTATATGAAATGGTAAGAACATAAAATTAAACTACCTTAATGAGAGTATACACTCCAATAGAAGTCAAATAAAAGCGCATATGTAATATTAAACGTACAACTTAATGCCATACTTTTAATTGAAATAATATTTTTTATATTTCATATTGGCAGCGGCTCTACCCTTACTCATATGAAATTGAAAAAAGAGCGTATAAAAAAACGTCAAAAAGCTGTCAAAGTTTCAATATGCTTTTAAAAGTTCCTTATGCATTTTAATGATTTAAGCAATGCCGGTCCATATTTTTATAAAACAAACTTATATATTACTACTAGTGCCTGAATGAAATATAACAAAAGAAATAAAGCTTCAAATAATGGACTTCGTTGATAAAGAGTAAGTATATTAATCTTATTTTGTGTAATAAACTTAATATTAGAAAACAAAGAGTATAGAAAAATATAAATATTTTTTAAGTAAAAAAGCTTTGATATATTTTCAAATAAGTTGTTTGGTTAGGAAATTGACTGTTACATATTTGTAACGCTAGGATGTAATGTACGTATATTCTCCAGTTATTTTGTATCAATATATCATACGTTTTATTTTTTTTGTATGGTATTTTTAGCAAAATTTTTCAAAGCATGTATTAGTATACAGAGTATTTATAGAACTCTAAAATTTAAAAATTTGAAATTTAAAAATGCGGTATGATAAAAGTTTTTTTATTATTTCAGAAGCCTTTGGAGAATACTACGATATAGATAACTTTAGAGGCAATTTATATAGCGCTACCGGATCCGACTACTCTGACGGGTGAGGATTCCTGAGATGTCAACGAGGGCAAAGAGTTCGATAATTTGAGCAAACGTCAGCTACTTGCCGATTCAGAAGTTAGAACTGCTGATGGAAGTATACCAGTAGACGAAATTTTTATTTAACAGTCAGAATCGACAGAAGGTAACATTTCTTTGGCAAATGGTATCGATATTACACCTGTTCATACGGTATATTCAAAAGTTTTTGATCCCGGGATTAAGTTTCGATGGATTTCACATATAAGGAGAAAGAGTTTCCTGAGTCAGATTATTAACTCAATATAAGGTTGAATGTTCGAATAATTAAACTCTGATGGTATACAAGGCAACTATCGAACACAGTGATTAATTAAATCTTGCTCAAGTACTTTCGATCAATAGATCATCTTCAGGGGCATCTAAAATAAGCCAAGAACCGTTTTTTTTTTATAAAAAAGGAAAGTTAATTCACTTGGATAAAAAACTTCAAGTTTATGGTTGAAAAAAGTTTTTATGTGATAAACGTTTATAGATTTACTTCGTCAGTTGTGGCCTATCCGACATGAGCAGAATGTCATATATGTAAATTTGGACATAATACAATACACAAAGACAAACAAACACTTTAAAATTTTTAAAAAGGAGAAGCTACATGTTTATAGAAGCCGAAGACAGAATGGGCTCCTGGTCTGGCGGAAATATTAAGATGACATGTGACAAATGACAGCTTGTAAAGGGCAGTTATGTGATCTGCACCTTTAAAAATTCTATGAAATTAAGTATTGACCAAAGGTCCAACTGACACCACTATAGGAAATCAACCGATGAAACATATAATTATATAGTATAGAATAATCCAAATCTCACACTCAAACCTGTCTATAATGATTAGGATGTTAGTTTGAGAGCAATTGAAGTTGACATAAAGTATGAATGTAAGAAAAGACCAAACAATATATTAGACAGTGGATGGTTGACTACAATAAAATGGTCCACCAAGCACTATCTTACTTACTTACTCCGTGGCGTTACAACCCTTCGTGAGTTTTAGCCGACTCGACAACATGCCTCCACTGTTTTCTGTCTTGAGCAACCTCCATCCAATTCTCCACGCCCATAGTGCTTAGGTCTCCTGCTATATTATCTCGCCACCGGAGACGAGGGCGTCCGCGTGGTCTCCTTCCAGTTGGGACTTCCTGCCACACCAGTCTTACTGTTCGTTCGTCAGAATGTCACTAGCATTGAAAGCACTATCAGTACTGTAAAAAAGGAAAAATCTGAATATATAGTTAAATTACTAAAAGGTAAAATCAAAATTAAAAGTAAAATGTATAAATGGGTTATAATCTAAGTAGTTCAGTTGAATCCACAGTCAATGGAAGAATTTTAAAATTAATATTGAAATGCTCAGTGCATGAAGTCTAAACAGTCGAGCTGGGTCCTCTACGAGGTGAAGCTGTAATAAAGTTTTTAAATATAGGATTAAATTTGGAACAATTTAAATTAATTTGAGTATTAAGACAGAGCGAGTTTTCATTTGTTTCCCTTGTAATCGCCAAATCTTCCAATAAATCCAACTCTTGAGTATTATTATTATTCTCAAGTAATTATTCCAAACAAAACCATAATTCAAATTTTATTTTATTTTATACATACAGAAGCAAACTGAAAGTGCAAACTCATATCGGCCAGAAAAAATTAAGTTTTGTTAAAATATTTCGTTGAAAAGGTATTTGTAATCATAATATTTACATAAGAAGTGATCTGGTACATTACATATTTTTCACACTTGACTCTTGACATTGAAAGTGGGTGAATGGTTTTTTCTGATTACCAAAAATAATATTCTGACTATGAATATCGAATTAGCGAATACCAATACGAATCTCCAAGGAATTCTCTACGTTTTCAAAACAATACAGGAAGTATTAAATGAGTTAATGTACCTATTAAACAAATATACAAACGTGTTAAAAGGTATACATGATAAATTTTTTTTGATGGTAGTAAAAATATAAGATGAATTGCATTATCCAATTTATTTTTAAGTAGAATATTTATGTTGATACTATTTTTTTTAAATCCCATTTGAAGAGTCTCGAAAATTTTTTATAAGTTGAAATGGTTGGGGAATTTTTTGGGTTTGGGAGGAGAGGAAAATTGGTGGGTATTTTAGAGGATTATATTTTCACAGGGTAAATTAAATTTATTTTCATTATTTAATTGAATACAATAATTGCATATTATATTCTACTCTCATAATATATTCAATGACAATAGAACCTGAATTATTTCAGCGCTCCCTGTTGAGCAGTAGTATAATAATTTTCTTTTACTGTTCTCTACATCTGACTACTGAAATTCACAAATCTTTGGGATTCGCACAAATCAAAAGTAACTTCGATCCAAGTCATCAAGTAATTCCCATGACGACATTGAATACCAGTTATACTTTAGGAGTGCCTAAATAAATCTAGTGACAACGCCGTTTTCTTTTCATCTTCAAGTTTCGAATTTTTCATTTTTACCATGTCGAAATCGTTTCTGTGGAATTTGTTTTCCAAGCGTAGCAACATGAGGCACAGTGCTCTATTTGTTGGAAAATATTAAGGCATCACCTAAAAAATAAACATCCAAAATATCTGGAAAATAAGCCAAAGGTAAGCTCATTTCATAGAAACATTTAAGTAATGGAATTAATAGGGGAATTTTGTTTTTGCTTAGAATAAAGAACTGGCGGACATCGGAACTTTTTTGCATATAGGCGATCAGGAAGCATCTTTATCTGCTTCTGAGGCGAGTGTGAGCTCGGCTTCATTTTACACATAATAAATTTAGTTGTCACAGATGGCCTAGAAGATATAAACAATGTAGCATTCAAAAATGTAATAAACGAAATAAAAGCCATAGTTACTTTCGCTAGGCACAGCAATCTCTTCATGGAAAGGTTACGGATGGAGCAGGAACGGGAGGGTAAGTTAGAGGGTGAAGTGAAACTTTTGGTACAATCCAAACCAGATGAAATCCTGTCTACCATATGCTTAAAAGATTTACACCAATGTCCCCATATATAGCTGCAATACTAGCAGATCCCTCGATTACAAAAGCACCAAGGATGATTTCTGGTTCAGATATAAAACTAATCACTAAAATTGTAACAATTTTATCACCTTTAGATGAGGCCACAAAGGAGATCTCGGGTTTTCAGTGCATTACTGCTAGTCTTGTTATCCTCTTCAAAAAAACTATATCTGAATCCGTCCATAGTGGAGACAGTCACATCCAATTTAGGCTCGGAAGTAAGGACGTACCTTACCGAAATCGGAAAACTTTCTCCTTTCTGCTCCTTCCAGAATAAAGAAGCCAAAGTGAGTTTAAAACCAAACCCTCTTTGGTTTTCACACGATCTGGACTTGGTGAACAGTGGTTCTAGTTCAAGTTCTCACACGGATTTCACACGGATTCAAAGTTCTTTTCCAAATGAACTGACTTTATATCTGCAGCAGCCTTTGCTGCCGAGATTAAGTGTTCGGTTTTCATTCTTGAGCAGTACAGAACCTGTATGCCAGGCTTGGCTTTTATAGCTAAAAAATACATGTCGTTGGTCGTAAGATCGGTGGCATCAGAGAGACTGGTGTCATAATTGAATGATATTGTGTCAGATGAGAGAAGCCGATTAATCGACCAACCTATATATGAACGAGTTTTTCTCTACAGGCTTCATGAAAAATACTGGCTAACATAATGTTAAATCCATTTCATATAATAGGTAAGGTAACCTATTTGTTATCTTTTAACCTATACTTTTTTACTTAAAATATTACTTCATACTACTTATACTTTAATCTTACGCTATATTATATTTAATGATAAATCAATAAATATATAATAATAATAAAATAATAAATATAATAATTAATATAATAAAATGGTTTTAATAAAAATTGTGTTTTATTTATATTGATAGTGATGTTCTTCCGATAATACTAATTTTGATCATATTGATATCGAGTTGCATGAAGTATAGCAAACTGAAGTGCATTACAAATGTAACTTTGCAACATATTGGATTAAAAAAACCAAAAACCGGTTTTTGCAAAAACTGGTTTTTTTGGCCGGTTATGACCGCCAGGTTAAACCGTAAGCAAAAAAACCGGTATAACCGAAAACCGGTGTTTTTGTCAAAAACCGCCATCCCTAGCAAGAGTTATGCCTACTGCAGGATTTGCAGCTACAGCCAGGTCTGTAACAACTTGATGTTGTCCTTGTGTAGTCGACAAAACTGCTCCTGTAACAAAATTTATATTGTTTTTGAAAAACTAATTAAAACTATTTTTGAACGCTACATATATAATACTACACTGCCCACTTTTAGAACTAAACAACATTATGAATTTTACTACGCAAATAAATATGAAATGTTATCCTATCTATTTGATGGATTCGACCGTTACTTGATGGAAATTTATTTCATGTACGTAATCCTATCTGATTCATTGTCTCCATCATCTACTCATTCACTATCTAACTCGTCATTACTTCACTCATCGTCGAGTTCAAAATTGTCATCGTCATCACTAAAATAGTTTTCATCATTACCAGATTCCTCCAATAGTAATCGAGTTTTTTGGGATTTTTACACACTAATTTACGATTTTTACTGCCCGACGGCCCTGCATTACTATCATCCATAGTACTTTATCTAAACGAACGAACTTTTTAGAAGTCCTGATATGTTCGTTACACGCTCGTTAACGTACTTCTAGAATCAACTAGCGCTCAGTTCCTACTGGCAAGGCAAGTGATAATATGCATGTGTCATGAATCCGTGCCACGCGCACTGTCTGAAAACTCAGTCTGGCACTGATCCGTACCATGCGCAGTGAAACGGTTAAGAAGTTTTAGCGTTTTAACTTTTCTGGTTATTGTCTATAGTAGTAATAAATATTTTTCGGAGTTTAACTTAACTAATAGCTTAAAACATTTTCAGAAATCACACAATTTTTTATTACCGACTTTAGGACTGCTCTACTTAATACTAACGGGTGGAAATGTAGCTATCTACTACTGGTATGGTGATGAGATAACGACAGAGGTAAGGTAGTTAAGATATAATATAGTATATTGTAAATATAGTTCTTCTTCTTCATTTTTAGCCTTAAGTAATCCAACTTTGGACATAGGCCTCCCCCAATTCAATCTAGTGTCTTCTATTTTGCACCACTTGCTCCCAGTTGTGTCCTCCTATCTTCTTTATATCATTCGCCCATCTCATTTGTGGTCTTTCTCTGCTTCTCTTTCCTAACCATAGTCTCCATTGTCGTATTTCGTGGTTCCATCTTTTATCCTTCATTCGGGCATTGTGTTTCCATTTTAATTTGGCAGCATGTTCTCCTACGTCTTGTACTTTCAATTTGCCTCTAATCCAATTGTTTGTTTTTGTCTATAAATCTTATCCCGAGCATTGGTCTTTCCATCACTCTTTGTGCCTTTACTATTTTATTCATTCATACTATTAACTTGGTGAGTGTCCAGGTCTGTAAACTATACGTGAGTATGGGAAGGATATACTGATCGTAAATTTTGCTTTTCAAATATTATTCTATTTTAGTGCTTTTCGAAATAAAACTCAGTTTTCCAAATTCCACCCACGCTAATTTTATTCATCTGGTAATCAGATCTATCGTGTAACTTTTGAAAAATCGAATAGAAATCACCAAGTCGAATCGTAATTACTCGAAATCGGAATTTTGAATATCTATCGCGTCGTTTTTGTGTTTGGATTGGCATTCTGTAACTCACATCGTAATCGGTGTAAATCGAAAACGTCAACTTCTACTTGAAGCGCTCAGAAGTTGGTGGCAACTTCTGAGCGCTTCAGTGGCAAGTGTTCTGTAACGTTAAGTTACTGGAAAGGCTAGTGCTCGCGAAAAATTCATCAAAAAAGAAGATTATATTTCACGTCAAGCAGTCTTGACATGTTTTGGTTAAGTTTGAAAAGTTCGTTACACGAATACAAAATGTTCAATAAATAAATGACGTACCTTTAACAATAGATGGACAGATAATTCCTATCAAAAACTCTATTAAATATTTAGGGTTAGTTTTTAATAATTCTTTAAACTGGACAGAAAACATTAAAAATATTGAAACAAAAGCTCAAAAAGGAATGAATATAATGAGAGCATTATGTGGCACATGGTGGGGAGCAGACCCTATTTCACTTCTGTTAATTTATAAAGGTATTATAAGATCACACCTTGATTACTCATGTACAGTACTAAAACCCTGCAGTAAAGCCAACCTCGTAACATTAGACAAAATCCAATTTAAAGCTTTGAGGATTATCACAGGTTGTATGAGATCTACTCCTACGAATGCCTTATTAGCTGAGAGTAGGGAAACATCATTAGAAATCAGACGAAAAATCCTGTCTGCTAAATTTTATTTAAAAATCTCAGCTGATATAGAAAACCCTTTGAGTGAAATATTATCTGAGCTAGAGTTCAAAATCAATAATCAGATAGGAATGTGGAAATTAAATGAGACACCATATCTTATTTACATTAAAAGTAAATTTTACAGATGGGTCATTAGAACCCAGTTCAAGGGCAGTAGGGTTTAGAGTTCACATTCCATCAATAAATTATAACTATGCATCTAGACTACATGATCACATACAAATATGCACTGCTGAAATTATTGCCATAAATAAGGCAGTAGAAGTTTGCTTAGAAAAAAATATTAAAAAAGCAATAATATTCTCTGATGCAAAAAGTGCAATCCAAAAATTACAAAGTACCTGTTGGGGAACAAATAACCACATTGTAAATTTAACTAAAAGATTAATACTTGAGGCAAATGAAGCAGGATTTAATATTATTATAGCCTGGATTCCAGGCCACTCAGGAGTAAAAGGGAATATTGTAGCAGATCAATTGGCGAATATAGGTAGAACCCTAAACATCCCCGCTAATATAAAAATTGATAAAATGGACTGTTTCATTTCTTACTCAAACATTAATAAATGAATTTAAACTTGATTGGCTTAAACAGTTTAAACAAAAGGGAAAGTGGTATCAACAATGTCAAAGCGAATTCTCTATAAAACCATGGTTTCATAAGTTTGACTTTATAGACCGTAGACACCTAACAACAATTATTAGGTTACGAACAGGACATTTATTTGGCGCCAGATCGTCTATTTAAAATTAACTGTATTGATTCCCCTTTTTGTGAGTGTGGTCAAATAGGAAGTATAATACACATCTTGCTAGAGTGTCCTATCAATAAGACACCACTATTTGATTTATATCAAAAACTTATTAAAGATGGATGCCCAACGCCCATTTCAGTAGATTGGTAAGTCTATCAATCAGTGGCGGCTCGTGACATCTGCTATAGGGTGTGCTGCATGAACCACGGTCAATATAAAATAATAGAAATAGAATAACATACGAAAACAAAAACAATAAAATTAGCTTTAATACTAATTAATAGTAACTAATAACGACATGCTATAAAAATCTGATTAACTTACATTTATTGCATTTTTCTAAATTGGAAATTAATACGCCGGTCCTTTTTTGTCGCAAACTTTTCGATTACTTTATCGTTAAAGTTCGGTATTGAAGCGATGAACTTTTTTTCTATCGAGAGTGTGGAAAGGGCTGTTAATCTGTCTTCGCACATTGAATTTCTTAAAAATGTTTTGATCCGTTTTAAAGTTGAAAAACTACGTTCAGCTTCTGCTGTGGTCATTGGCGTAGTCACCAGAATTTGTATCAACTTTTTGGTTTCTGTTAATGTGTCCTCTAAATTATTAGAAATTATAAATTTTAGTAAAGGCACTGCACCTTTTAATGTTCTACACTCGATATTGGAATACAAAACTGACAGTTCTGTTCGCAAACGGTTTTTATCAAAGAAGTTATAAGCTGTACAAGTTAAATCCAATTCATTTTCAGGAAACTTATTATTATATTTTTCGAAATGTTCTGAAGATAAAAGTGTTGCGGCAACTAGATGATTTGTATATGCAAACCGTTCTTTTGCATTGTTTATAATAACATCACAAACTTCTAGACAGGCAATACGGTGATCCTGTTGGCTGTTATTTGGGCGTTTCCTTTTTTGGACACTAGGCGCCGCATTTAAATTTGAAGCTTGATGTATGATAGGGTCTATTTTATTTCGGACATTGTTAATACTTTGCTCAAAAACATGTATAGCTTTCTGTGCTTCGGTTGGGTCCATGTTCTTTTTTTGAAGATTATTGTACAAAACGTCAACATGTGGCATAATATAATGAAAAACAGTCAGCCAGAAAGTAAAATTTTGATCTTCCAGAATACGTCTAAGTCCTCTTGCTTCCTTGGAAGTAATAGCATTTGACTCTTCTTCTAGTTGCTCCATACACTCAATAATAAAGTCTCTATATTCGTAAACGACATTTACTGTACGAATATTGAAATTCCAGCGTGTAGGGATTGAACGAGGAATATTTTTTCCAACTATTTGATTTAAGACAGCTATTCTTTGAGGTGAATGACTAAAAAATCCAGGTATATCATGTAAATCTCCAAAAAATACGCGTACTTGGGAATTAATAGAACATGCTCTTGACATTATTAGATTCAATTGATGGGCGTAACAGTGCACAAAATGAGCAGTTTCATATTTTCTCTTAATTATTGTTTGCACTCCGCCATGTATCCCACTCATAACAGCTGCTCCGTCATAACTTTGTGCAATGAGCTTATTTTTGTTATTCTTTAATATTGGGTCTAAAACATTCAAAATTGTGTTAGCTAAGGTTTCAGCATCATGTTTTTCTGGAAGCAAAAAAGTCCAAAACCTTTCAACTGGAGCACCGTTTTTTACATAACGAAAAACAATGACCATTTGAAATTTCATAGAAACATCCGTTGTCTCATCAGCTATCACTGCTAAAAATGGGGCTTCATTGATTTCGTTTAAAATCTCCTCAGCGTATACTTCTAGCATGCAATCCAAAATATCATTTTGTATTGTTTTTGAGGTACCTTTGAAAATTGTCGCATTTGTAAGGTGTTCACTAAGTGTTTTATCAAGTTCAGCAGAAAAATTCACTAAACCACGAAAAATTCCAGGGTTATCTGATGTTTCAGATTCATCGTGTCCTCGTAAGGCGAGCTCAAAAGCCCCACAGAATTTTATACAGTCAATTATTTTTGACAAAACATACCTGTTTTTCGTCACCTCTTCATTGTGTTTTTGTATATTTATCCAATAAGCAGAGTCAAGTTGGGCCTGTATATTAAGTTTCCCAAATAATGCAAATCGCATTTCATTGTTCATATGAGTTTGCGTGTTTTCATGCTTCTTTATTTTTTCACTTAAATGCACTAGATCCCGCACTCCTGTCTCGCGCCACAATTTTTCCTCTTTATCTGCGCCGAATAATGCACACGGAAAACAGAAAAAAGCATTTTTTTCGGAACATCCACAAATCCACTGATTTCGTAGATACATGTCTTTATTAAATTTACGCGTATATGTTTTTCCACGGCTTTTACCGGACACTTCAATATTAAGATCAGGCATAGGACGGCCACGTTCTTTTATAATCAACTGTTGTTGATAGTGAAGTTTTTGAAATTTATTTACACCTAATTTAAATTGAAACTCCATTGTTTTAAACACGCTCGAACAAAACAAATTAAACAAAATTGTAACCTAAGAATTTCTAAACACGGCACAGATGCAACGGTCACGAATAACTGTCGTGAATTGCAGCTCGCAAACACATTTCCGAGGCCGTTAATCAGCCGATTGCCGAAGCACATCGGCTAAGATCGCCGTTTGCCTAATAAATGCATTTTACCGCTGCCAGTGTTTCGGTTGTTATCGACGCGGCTTCACTGGAGCAGCAAATACGTAAAAAGATTGCTTCACTGGAGCACCAAATACGTAAAAAAATTATACGGTTTCACTAGAGGAGTAAATACGTAAAAAAAATAATATTAATCATCGTTGTTGGTGAATTATTATTAACAGTTTATGTTTAATATGATAATATGGCAGATTTGAAATAAAACTATATTAATTATTCTTTAATAATTAAGATTTGCTATGGTTGTTTGGTAGTTCTGCAGCTCAGCAGCACATAAAGAAAAGCCGCCACTGCTATCAATATTTTCCAAATTAAAATGTAAGTAAAATATAAATAAATACCCAACCTAACCTATCCTTTAACCATTGATGTCCTGTGGTCCTGTCCAAGATGCCAAATTCCAGATATACCTTACATAGCTTAATAGATGTAACAAGAAAAATCTATATCATTAATGATATATAGAATTATTTTAGAATATCCACTATAAATTGTCCAAGATAGTTAAAGGGAATATGGTTATTTCCAGAATCTCTGTGAGGAGAATTCCCTTCTATAATTGAAATAAAAATATATACATGAGCTGGCCACGTACCTAAGAGGTGGAGGCCATAAAACGAAAGAAGAAGAAGAAGAATACAAAATGTTATTTTAGAATATCCACTATAAATTGTCCAAAACAGTTAAAGGGAATATGGTAATTTCCAGAATCTCTGTGAGGAGAATTCCCTTTTATAATTGAAATAAAAATCTATACATGAGCTGGCCACGTACCTAAGAGGTAGAGACCATAAAACGAAAGAAGAAGAATACAAAATGGCAAGCAAGACAGCAAAGAAGAAGACATTTGCTGAGCAGTTAAATTATTTAGTAAACTTTATCTAAATAAATAACACCACAGACCAAAAAATGAAGTAGCTACAAAAATTAATCAACCGCTAATTTAGATCAACAAGTCAACAAATAAATGTCAAAACAACCAATGCGCAAGCGTTAAGACCAATTTCGATGTCGAAATTTGATCTTGACAGAGCTTGTCTAGTCGAAATCAATTTCTACACAACATTCCGATAGTAGAGGTCGAGATGAGTTACAGAATACCGATTCCTACAAATTCCCATCCGACTTGCTGACCTCTACTCGATTTGACTCATTTCTATTCGATTTGTAGTTACAGAATAGAGCTGATTTTTGGCAGTTTGATTTTCTTTATTAACTTTCATTATCTGTCGCAGCTAGATGTATTCGCTTACTGTTTCTAAATTGATATCGTTCAACGTTATTTCTCCATGTTTGGTGTATTTATCATTTTTTTTTATTTTTCCAAGGACACAGTTGCCTCATCATAATCTGTAGTTCTTTAACATTTTTAGCGAATATTACAATGTCATTACAATATCAGCGTATCTCAAATGACTCAGTTTTCTTCCACTAACATTAATTCCTTTATCTGTCCAGTTAATGACTTTGAACACGTCTTCCAGTCCAAGTGTCTTAGACCTTAAATAAATTAATCTTTAATCTTTATTTACTTCCTTCTTTATTTGTTTATTCAATTCTGTGAAACCATCGGTGTTTTGCTTTCCTTTGCTTAGAAATGTGCGTCTCTTTTCCACCCACCGTTTTGTTCCTTCACTTATTCAGTCTTCTTTATTTTTCGTTTTCTTTGCAACAGTTAGTCCTGCTTTCAAGAGCTTTCGTTACATTTCTTTATTAATTGTGTTCATGTCGGAGTATTCTTGTTGATTGTGTTTTACAAATTCTTTTCTTACGGTTTCTCTGTACTCATCTCTCTTCTGTCGTATTTTAGTTGGATCTATCTGATAACAATAATTATGTGGCCCGTTTGTACTGGTTTTCGTCTGTTTAATAAGAATCTTTGCTCTTAAAAGGCGATTATCGCTGATAGTTGTGGATCGATTGAGAGCAGTTATATCTTCAAATAATACCATATTATGTTTTCCAATACCATAGAAGGGCTGCAAAACTTAATGAACAGAATAACGGAAACAAGTAGAACACATGGACTTTATATAAACACCAGCAAAACCAAGCTAATAATCATCAGCAAGCAAAACATAACTGGAGCATATCTGTATGTGTACCAAATGAGAATTGAACGTGTCTCACAATACAATTACTTATAATCGATTAGTCGTAAGACAATACGCAAGAGATTAAATGTCGCATCGGAAAGGCCAAAAGTGCATTCTTTAATATGAGCTCTGTGTTCAAAAGCCATGACTCACACTGAAAACAAAAATAAGGCTCCTTAAATATTACGTGCACTCAGTGATTCTGTATGGAGTAGAAACGTAGACATTGAAGGCGGAAACTCTATCGACACTTCAGGCTTTTGAATTATGGTTATACAGAAGAATCCTGAAGATACCATGGACAGACAAAGTCACCAATGAAGAAGTACTGCGGAGGATAAACACAACCGCGGATTTGGTCATCATTGAGAAGAGCCGTAATCTGGAGTACTTGGGACATATAATGAGAAATCAAGGCAGATACGAGCTACTCCAATGCATTTTGCAGGGTAAAATGGAAGGAAAAAGAGCCCCAGGACGAAGAAGAATATCCATTGTTTGCCTCTTCTTTTTACTTCTGACAGTTCTACAATATCCCACTTTATCTTGAAGAAGTTTTCTTCTAATTCGTAGACCTTTTCATCTTTAGCCATGGATGGAATGTTGTATGGGGTTAGTAGTAACTGTTTTTGTTTGTTCGTATCTTATTCTTCCTCTTCTTCGTCTAGCCATTCACGTCCACATTTGAACATAAGCCTCTTCAAGTCTTCCTATCCATTGTTTTTTATTGTACGGTACTTGTAGCCAAATTTTCCCGTCATCTGTCCATCTCATAGGAGGTCTGCCTCTGGGTTTTTTGTGTTGGTATGGTCTCCAGGTTAAAATTGATCTGTGCCATTTGTTTAGATCGCTCCTAGCTACATGTCCAGCGTATTCCCATTTTAACTTTAATGATTTTTGCACCACATCGGTGGCTTTGGTTTTCTGTGTTATCCATGTGTTTGTTTTCTTGTCCTTAAGTGATATACATTGCTACCATTGCTCTTTCCATCGCGTGTTGAGTGACTCTAAGTATATTCATATTCTTTTTTGTGATTGTCCATGTTCCTTGTCCATGTCCATGTTGTGATTGTTCGTATCTATTTTGGCAAATTGTTGATGTCAGACATTAGCTACCGCTAGAGAAACATATAATCTACATCATTGAAGATAACTTCAAGTTGAATCACATACGCTGAATACGTTACATTTCCCATAAAACCCAAATCTTTGCCAAAACATCTGAACAGTTAAAAAATAGACCAGTCAAATTATTGAAATGTATTTTATATAAAATGAGATCTCTTGTGTCCCCTGAGTATCTGAACATTATATTTTTTAAACAGTTAGAAGAAGATTTTTGTAATTTTTTTAAAAATTAAACAGATTTTGCAATGACCCAATAATTTGTTTATTAAATAATAATATCCTGCTTTTGTCGAAACAAAAATATTTTTTTTTTTTCAAATGGTAAACGTCCAATTTTACTGGTCAATAAAAACCAATCAAACACCTGCTACAATTGTAGTACTTGACTGTGGGCATATTGTTGCTCGTATGGTAACCATATTTGGCAGGACTAGCAATTACCGTAGTGTATAGGTTGGCATTTACGATTAAGTAGTTCTATTTTTTTTATTCAACTTTTTTTTTGTTCTAAAATTAACAATATAGAAGAAAAGAGCCTGATACTATCAAATTAGTAGTTAAGCTTTTATTTATTATATTTGTATATTTTATTATTATCGAAATAATTTAATATATGTATTTCAAGAGCTTCGAATTAGCAGATGCAATTTATGATATCAAATGGTACGACAAATCTAAGGAATTCAGAAAAATCCTAATGATTCTATTAATAAGATGTCACAAAGAAGTAGGAATTGAGATTGGAGGCATAACAATAATGTCTAGGAATATATGCATTGGAGTAAGTTTTAATTTAGTTGGATATCTAGAGATACTGTAAATACTAAATATGTTTACATATAAACGCGAAAAAGCATGCAGTAATAAAACCCTATTTTTCTTACCATAAACATCACTAACATAATATCACAGAAGGTGTCGTTTAATATAATCAAACATATTTTATTAGATAAGAAGTAATAAGAAAAAGACTTACTCAAAATTAAATTTGTTCTACCACAGACGACCGATTTTCTATCTATGTATTATTCCATGTATACTACAATCTTTATATTTTTTTTGGTATGAGGCGGAAAGGTTCGAAACCGACAAGAGAAGGTGCCCCTAGGACTGTTGGATTCAAAAAGGCAGGAGCACACGAAAACAGCACAGAGTTCACACGAAAATCCGGGCCCCATCGTGCGCCCCTTTCAGGTCGCCTACCAACTTAAACCACCCCCTCTTCAACGCTGAATATCCCCGGACGAGTTCATTAGAGAACGAAACATGGGGACGTCTTGCGCAGTCTGAAAGGGTGTGCTTGTGGAAGGTCTTAGGGCTTGTCCTACCATGTATACCTAATAACGTCACACACCTAGGGGAGAGTCTGATTCCTTTTTAGAAGGAAAAGGGGAAAGGTGTTCGGAAAACCTATATTAATTGTTGTCTATTTAATTATTATTCTTATATGTGTGACGTGTATATCTGGTGTAGCTGCTCTGTGTATATTAAGTGGAAGAGAATTAGGAAAAAGGTTGTTTGTAGATATCAAACAGATGTACCTGCTATAGGTATATTCAAAGCAGAAAAAAGTGAGATAAAGATAAATTTATTTACAGGTATCAACTTGTGTGGTCAGAAAAAAACCTCTTTCATCCGGCTTGTTCAGCCCTTTCAAGTAAGGTCTTTCTTTTCATGATCTCCGTTATGTGGTCTATTATGATTTCGAAGTTCTCCTTGTTGATCATAGCTATCTGTATAATATTGTTGGGCGTTGTCAACCCTATTCTGTTACGAAGCTATTTTGTTCGGGGGCGAAAACCAGAAGAGTTTTTGTCTGTTTCATCGTTTATGAAAAAGAATTCGATAATGTAAAACACGAATTGATGATAAGATACCTACAAGAGCTGGGATTAAACGCCAAGGATATAAGAATTATCGCCAATCTGTATTGGAACCAGACAGCAACAGTACGTCTTCAAAATTTCAACGAAACAGAAGATTTTTCAATTAAAAAAGAAGTAAGGCAAGGTTGTATACTGTCTTCAATGCTGTTTAATTTATACGTAGAAAAAGCCTTCGCGGAAGTAGTGACAGACTCTAATAAGGGTATTAAAGTTAGCGGCATCTTTATTAATAACATCAGGCATGCCGATGATACAGCTATAGTGGCAGATAACATCGAAGATCTTCAATGCCTTTTAAATGATCTATCTCTTGTAAGTGAAACTCGGGGTTTGAAAATAAATATCAAGAAGACAAAAACAATGACTATAAGTAAAAATGATTACCCCAACGCGAGAGTATATGTCTCTGGAGAAGAAATCGAACAGGTCAGGCAATTTAAATGCTTGGGTTGCTTGCTGAATGAGTATTGGGACCCCGAGAATAAAGTAAAGAGCAGAGTTGAACAAGCCAGAAATGTTTTTTTGAGGCTTCGTAAGTTTCTGACTGATCGCAAATTGGACTTCAACCTTCGATACAAGATGCTTAAATGTTACGTGTGGCATGTTCTCCTGTACGGAATGGAAACATGGACGTTAAAGGCCAGTTTCATTAACAAACTTGAAGTGTTTGAAATGTGGTGCCAGCGTCGAATGCTTAGAATATCATGGACGGACAGGGTCAGAAATGAGGAAGTACTCAGAAGAGCGGGCTTACAGGATGGGGAATTTTTTAGTTATATAAAAAGTAAGAAGACTGCATGCTTGGGGCACATATTACGAGGAGAAAGATACACTTTTTAGCAACTGATACTCGAACGGAAGATAGAGGGTAGGAGAGGTCTGGGACGTAAAAAAATGTCATGGCTGAGCAATATTCGATAATGGACAGGAATCCACAGCTATGAAATGCTGCGCAATGCTGCTAAAACAGAATTATTAAATTCTGACTATTTAACGTCTCACCTGACAAGACGATGTACGGTGGACGCCTACGCAGAAATGCACGACACTTTAAGAAGAAGAAGAAGATGCTATGTTCAGCGTCATCCCTTTCGCCACATGTAGAGCATATGTCATCGTTGGTTTTCTTAATAGCGTATATGTAAGATCTAAAAGATCCATGTCCGGTCAGAAATTGAGTAAAATAATAGTACTGCAATCTACTATACATTCTGAGATCACCGCTATTGTAAAATAAATGCTAAAATTAATAATTACCAATATTTGGGTGCTCTTTGGTACAAAATATATAACAATTACTAATTACAAAGCCATGAAATTACTACCGATACAAAAATGAGACTAGTAAGAAGTCTAGTTTTTCCAGTTTTTACTTATGCATCGGAATGCTGGACCCTTACTGAGAAAGACAAAAAGAACATAGATGTATTTGAGATGTACTGCTGGAGACGAATGCTGAGAATACCATGGGTGGCCCGAAGAACAAATGAATCCATACTGGTCCAGCTAAACATAAAGAAAAGACTAAGAACACAAATAACAGAACAGATAATAAGCTATTTTGGACATGTGCTTCGAAGAAATGGTCTTGAAAAACTTACCATCCAGGGAAAAGTAGAAGGCAAAAGAAGTAGAGGTAGATCTCCTACACGATACACGGACCATATTGTTGCTACCATTGGCGCTCCATTGTCAGAATGTGCTAGATTGGCAGAAGATAGAAAAACGTGGAGGAACATTGGAAAAATTACCTAACAGCTTCATGATATCACGATACCTGCATCAGGTTAACGACTAAGAAGAAGAAGATATAACAATTATGCCAATATTATATGTAAGGAGTTTTAGTCCTCTACCATGTTAAATTGTATTAGTGTCATCTAATTACATGATCTTATATGTACGTGGAACTATACTAAATTGGTTTTACCTTACAGTTTTTTAATTTTCAATAGAAAAATTAATAGGAGTTGCATTCTCTTTAAGCTGTATGAATGTATGAGAATCAGCTTGAGTTTAGAGATCATCACAAATTCCTGAATTTATTCTTCAACTGACAGCTAACATAGAAAAATCATATCTCACAACTTATCCTTTCATGTCATAAAAGATTAAATTTTTTCAGATTTCTCTGTATCAAAACTGAGGCTTAGAGCAATGTACTCTACTGCTGTATAAATCTTTAATACGTCTAAAGCTAGATTAACTGCTAATCAATCTCTTTTTAAATCGTTAGATAATATTTATAATAAAAGTCTTAGATAAATTAAAGGGGCTTTTTCACCTCCCCCTGTAATAAGAATTTATGGTCTTTTAGGAGAATCATCGTTAAATCATTGCCCCATGTTCCTCGCTTTATCACATGCAGCTCAGTTTCTTGTAATATTTTAAAACCAATATATCAAAACACTTTTACAAACAAATATGAAAACAAATTCCAATATATTCGCTATACTGCGAAAATTGTATTACGACAGAACTAAATCCATACTTCAAAATCTAAACACTGATTTTTTTTTCGATGTTTTCTCTTCGGATATTAAATACCCTGAGCCTTGGCTAATAGATTTATCAGTATGTGATACATCTGTCTATTTTGATTATTTCGGTATAAACAATAATTGTCTGATTCGGCTTAAATTCAAAATCTTCTTAGAAAAATACCCCGACCATCATAAAACCTACACAAATGCCTCCAAGTCCGAAGAACGAGTAGGGGCATTAATCATTTCCTCAAAAAACAATATTCTTTTCTAATCATAACAGATTTTCGTAGCTGTCTAAACTCAATAAAACATATTCTTTTTTCATTTGTATAGTAACTAAAATACCAGCTGTTCCAAGCAACTGGAAGAAGAGTTAAATTTTTGTGGGTACCTTCACACATCGAAATACCGGGAACGAAGAAGCACACATTACTGCACGGCAGGCAATTTTAAGCGATTATTTTGAGTCTATAAATAAGTGTGTTTCCAGAAACTTAAGGCTTATAATAAAAATAAACTGTTTGTGCTTGTGGCGAAATGAGTGCTTTCAAACTTAATGTTAAACTGAATAAAATCAAAAATATTGTTTCTCAGTGGAGAAACAATATTATTGATTCTCCATGATTCTCCAGTTTCTCATCATCGCTTAAAAGGCGTGAACAAATAATTGTCCTTATGCGTTTATGTCTAGGACATACCAAGTTAACGCACTCTTACCTTTTCCCATGCATTTCAGGCTCAGACATTTTCATGTTCAGTGTATATTTTGGTGGATGCGAACTTTTCGTATAAAAAAAACAATAAATTTTGCATTAATGTATCTCCCTATCATACAAGCATTTGTGAGTTTATTTAAGCAATATGATTTAATATATTTGTTTTATATTAACATGAAATTATTGTTAAAATATTATTTTGTTTTAGCTTTTCAAGGGAGCCTACACCTTTGTTCAATTTGCTCTACAAATTTAGAAATACATTTTGGTACTTAACATTTTGCCATAGTACCATAGACAATCTCGTAGATTTGAGATTATCACTAAGCCATAAGAACAATGGAACACTTTGCACATTTAGCACATTAGATTTTGCTTTGCTGATAGCAAGCTCGTAGAAAAATACTGCTTTAACAAAACATCTTACTTTCAAGATTAGTATAATAATAGATGGTTTGATGAAACGTCTAAGTTGAAGCAGAAATATTATCACCAATAGCACCAGAAATAAGTTGCATGACTAATCAATAAAGATGAAGTTTATCATATAAGATAATATTATTATATTGGTTTAAAATTGATATCCTTATTTTTCCAAATAGGATTTTTAATAAATCCTGATTTAACATTACCAAGAGCCTACTCATCTTCTGCAAAAGTTACGTTAAATAAGTGTAGCAAATTAAGATGATCCTACTCGTAGTTGGTGCAGAAAAGATCGATTTAAGCGAATATAAGAAAAAGATTTAAGCTAATGTAAACTATCTGTTAATCTAAAGAGAACTCCGGATCAAAAGTTTTTACTTCAAAATACATTTTGACCATTTTTAAAGGCAACTAAATAAGATAAAAATAAAGGAAAAACATTATTTTTTATTTTTAAAAGAAAAATAAATCAAAACTTCAAAATAAGTATATTATCAATTTAAATTGTAGTTTATTACTAAATAAAAAAATTAACATTATTAAAACGTTCCTTGCAAATATCTTTAGAATAAAGAAAAATAGTAACGTAAATACAATAACTGTATAATTTTTGCATAACGAAGGTCAATAAGTCTATCTCTAAAGTAAGCAACTAATATTTTTAGGACCCTTAAGCTAGCGTGGACAAATGAGCTTAATCCAGTTTAACCCCTTAACGTACGTGCCCGTCTCAGACACGGGCGCGCCTTACTGAAAATTATGTACGCGCTCGTCTGGGACTCGGGCGCCGCGCCGGTTAAATCTTATCCATCAAATTTTTCAAGCCCTTCCAAGGCGGATATTTGTATAAAGAGACATAATGTAAGCATAATTATATCTAAAGTATTTTTTATTATAAAATAGATGACTCAGTCAGTATTGACTTACTTAAAAATATATTTATTCTCTCATAACTTGCAATTTGCAATAGTTACCATTGATAACCGATATTATTCTCGAAATTTTGTTTTTATACCTTTTGTCTTGCCGGTGTAAAGTCGTCTGCTGAAGTTGATATTTTTTGTGTTTTTGCGTTTGAACTAATTTGTGCCTTATTTTCATCATTATTATTATATTATTTGGTAAGTAAATTTTGCATATAATATTCGGCGGGTTATAGTAATGTGTATATTTGTTATTTTACTAAATTTCATTATAATTTATCTAAAATACTATTTGAATTATAAATCAGAAATTTTCTTGATTGCAATATAGTTTGTTTTTATTTCAGTAAACTGCTTGGAAATAAGCGACAGTGAATCAGAATACGCAAATCTATAAGCAAGTGGTTCCGAAGAGAGTGATACCGAAATTAAAACTGATTCAGAGGAAAGTGATGAGACCTCTTTGGATTTAGCTAGAAATTGGTATCCTATTAGTACAAATCAGCCAGCCTTTGCTTCACCAAGATTTCCCTTTATTGGAGCTTCTGGATGCACTTTTGCTTTGCCTGATGAATTTGACGTTTTATCATATTATTAATTATTTTTTGATGATGTTCTCGTCAATCAAATTGTAACAGAAACCAATAGATTTGCTCAACAACAGGAAGCATCAACATCATGGTCACCAGTTACTGTTGAAGAATTGCACGTGTTTCTGTCAATGAAAATACTTCAAAAGGAATTATCAGCAAACCAGAGGAGAAAATGTACTGATCGGCATCAGAAGTCTTTAAAACTCCGATCTTCTCAAGGTTGCTCGCTTACAGGAGATATTATGATATACAAAAGAATTTGCATTTTAGCAATAATGATGAGTACAATTCTAAAACTCATCCACAGCCGAAACTAAATAAAATATGGCCTGTTTTCGACAATATAAATAATAAATGCAGCTCTTTATATATTCCAGAAAGGGACATCAGTGTCGATGAAAATCTTGTGTTGTATAAAGGACGTCTTAGTTGAGTGCAATATATACCAATGAAAAGAGTTCGATTTGGCATCAAACTTTATTGTCTCTGCGAGTCAAAATCTGGATATTTATACTCTAGCATAATATATACAAGGAAAGGTACAAAAGTAAGTGAAGAATACAAATATTTACCCAAGTCTTCCCAAGTGGTACTCTCCCTAATGAAACCACTGTTAGGTATGGGTTATTGCCTAACAACAGATAATCTTTATACATCTCTTTAGTTGGCAGACATATTAATAAAACAGAAAACAGATATGTACGAAACTTTGCGTTCGAATAATTCGAATATTATCCATGTAGGTATTGTGCAGTATCTTGCAACAAAAGAGACGAAAAAGGAAAGAAAAAAAAAACCAGATGCTTTTGCAAAAATTGTAATGTGGGATTATGTGCTGTGCCGTGTTTTATACTGTACCGCACACAATTGAATTTTTAATTCTAATTTTTTTATGTGGGTTTAAATGTCAATAAAATATTTTGAATTATTTGTATTTTTCATATAAATCATATCATCATTACCTATTTACAGTATTTCCTCTGCACAAAATTTTTTAATTTCAACGGATTTGCATACAAAAAACAGTGCGTCACTGTCATCTATGACCATTGGCATTATATATATATATATATATATATATTAAATGGCCAACTATATGGCCTAGGAGACAAATTCGTTAAACTTCCCGTGCTCGAATTGGTATCACTAAAGTGTTATGATCATTTCGGCCTATCCCAGCCATCGTCAGACACTTGGGCTGATACAAATTCAAACTCGGAAAGTAAAACGAATGTCTCCCAATCTTCACTACCGTGTAGTTAGCTTATAAAGGCGCCCTCTATTTTGAAGGCCGTGAACGAAACGATATGAATAATCGTTTTCTGTATCCTTTATGCTATGCGAAATGTGTAAAGAATTAAATCTTTTTAAAAAAACGAATTTGTCTCCTAGGCCATATAGTTGGCCATTTAATACATACAGCGATAGCGGCTTTCGCTAAAAGATTTAATTCTTTACATATATATATATATATATATATATATATATATATATATATATATATATATTTATATATATATATATATATATATATATATATATATATATATATATATATATATATATATATATATATGTCACTGATGTAATCCACCGAATAAAATCTTATTACATTTAGCAAGAAGAACTGACAATAGATGGTCCACTAGAATTACTCTGTGGTATCCAAGAGGCGTCAAGAGACCAAGAAAACGTCCAAATTTAAGATGCGACTATGACATAAGGAAACAAGCCGTACAACATGGCACAGAAAAGCCAATATTAGACAGTCGTGGGCAGACATGAAGAACGACTATGTAAGGGAGGCTGCACCATAATTGGTAGAATACGCTGATAATGATGATTGATGATGATGATATATATATATATATATATATATATATATATATATATATATATATATATAATATGCGTATATTATTAGTATTTGGATGAAAACAAAAATAAATATTTCGCCTGATCCCCCAGAAAAGTAAAGGTTCTACGCCACTGGAAATATTTTTTTATTCAATTATAATCAAAACAAAACATTTTCACTAAAAAAAATTCGATTATTTTTTGACCATAACCAACTTACTATTACCATAATACTTTTTTACCACCAAACCAACCTTAAGGGGAGCGATTCTACTAGCTTAAGGTTCAGACTAGCAGAATTCGTAAAAAATTAATTTTTGCCTATGGCATATTTTTTACCGATTTTTTATAAATTTATTGCCACCTTAGTATTTTTCACCCGTTAACTACCTCTTAAGGAAAGTCAATAATTCTGTTAATAAAGACTATAATTTAAGGGAAAAATTATTTTTTTTAAATTCACTCTCTTCTACTTATAACTGAAATAATTTTTTTTTTTTAATTTTTACCAAACTTGAACCACCCTGATAATCTTGCACCTCTAAACAAATCTTACTTGGAAACGTTTTTGCTAGCTTAATATTTGAGCCAGCAAAATTTGAAAAAATATTTTTTTGAAACACCACAGTGTTCTGCTTATTTTCACGAATTTATTACCACCCTAGTAATTATTCACCCCTCAACTGCCTCTTATGGAAAGCCAATAATTCTGTTAGGTTAAAATTTAAAGTGAAAAAATAGTCTTTTACAATTATTTCACTCTCCTCTACTTATAACTGATATAAAAAAAGTGTTCTGATAAGTTTAGACTAAACTTTGATCAATATGATAATGTTTCACCCCTAGACCAATCTTATTTGAAAACGATCCTACAACCTTAATATTCGAGCCAACGAAAATATTTTTGAAAATAACTATTTTTGAAATACCACAGTGTTTTACTAGGTTTTTACGAATTTATTACCACCCTAGTAATGTTTCACCCTCAACTAACCTATGTGGAAAGTCAACAATTCTTAGGTTAAAATTCAAGGTGATGAAAAATCTATTTTTACAATTTGACTGTATTCTATCAATCAATAGTAGTGTTAGGTTAAAATTTATGACGAGATTTTTTATATATTTTACTGTACTTTACTTATAATTGAAATAAAAAAGTGTTCTGGTAAGTTTTTGGTTCACTTTTGCTACTCTGATAATTTTCCACCACTAAAGCAATTTTATTTGGAAACGTTCCCGCTAGCTAAGTATTCGAGCTAGCAGAATTTAATATATATATATATATATATATATATATATATTATATATATATATATATATATATATATATATATATATATATATATATATATGTACCACAGTGTTTTGATAGGTTTTTACAAGTTTATTACCACCCTAATAATTTTTCCCTCTCCTTAACACTCCTTGTGAGAAGTCATTTATGAATATTAATTTAG